CGGCGAGGCCAGCTACAGAGCGTTCCCTGCGCATGCGCAGGGGACGCTCTGTCACTTTTGGGGGGATTTAAACATCCCCCCGAAATTTTTTTCAACTTTTTTTATTTTTGTGCACACGTGGGGACTGGCCCACGTATGCACAAACCTCCCCCGGCCCCCCAGCTGCCCCCTCCGTGCTGATTTAAGTATCCGCACGCTGATTTAGCGATCCGCACTCCGGGGGCAACTTGGCTATTAGATATATAGATTTAATAGTAAAGCAGTATTTTTTAGTCTGCAATTCACCAAATTTTATAACTAATTTGCCTACCTTAACCTATACTTCATATAGGGATGAAATATGATATATGCTTTACTCTAATTACAACAAACAAAAATATTTTAATAAGAATATAACGAGGGTGTTTAAATACCCTTAGTCCTAAAAATAATCTGGTGTAACGCTTTTTATAAACAATAAGCCTCTAAAACATATAGGATTTTAGCCTATTCCTCTATATTATATAAAGAGATCTAAATTATATAAAGAAAAAACAATAGTAAGAAAAAACACTTTCATTCAGTACAGCATTTAAAAAGGAGCTTAATAAATTCACATCAAATTCATACATCCAAAAATATAATCTGTTTTTTTTTCTTTTCCATTGTGGGTTGAAAAAGGAAACTTATTATTTTTATACACGTTTCTAAAAAAAATATTCAGAGTATGTCCTCATATAATTTCCACGTATTATAGTAAGACAAAAAAACGACAAGAATAACTTAAAAGCAATACTGTGCATAACACTGAATTATCTTAACAACAATATATAGATCTCTATGTTACTATTCAAAAGCTAGAAATCCAGTGTTGAGCAAAAGATGGAGTGCTGTGTGTCTGGGTCCATCTTAAGGGTTCAGGAGATAGTGTTCTTCTTCTTGCGTAAGTTGTAGTCCCAATGAGGAGATAAGTGCCTTCCCAGTGATAGCATCAGATGCCTGATAAAGTAATCCATTACGATATACATGTATATTGGAAGTGGGACTCCAGCGGAGTTGGATTTTAGCTATGAAAAGTTTTGCCGCAATTACATTAAGGCTACAACGTTTGTCCAAGGTCTCTGCAGACAAGTCTAAAAGGACCTGCACTTTATTTTCCTTACAGGGGAGAAATCCTCGTATACGTGCCTCTTTGAGTATTTTGTCCCTAGTTCTTGGGTATAAAAATTGTGCTAACATATCTCTAGGGTGGCCTTTACGAGCTGTGGCCAGCAGCACCAAGTGATAGGCTTTAGTGATGATGGGCGCCTTTCCCTCCTCTAATTCCAATACGGTTGCCAGCCAGGTAGAGATATACTGTGCCACCTCTTTACCCTCCTCCGCTCCCTCTTCTATCCCTTTAAATTTCAAGTTATATTGCCTCCAACAGTTCTCTAAGGAAGAAAGTCTAGATGCTGTTTGTTTTTCCGAGGACTGAAGCGTCTTTACCTCTTCCTGAAGTGTTAGGGTTAATTCTGCATTGTTCTCCACGATCTTGGAGGTATCGTCCAAGTCCTTCATTAAGTCGTTTAATTGAGTTTGCAACGGTTGAAGGAGATACGCTTTTGTTCGAGGCTTCTCTTGTAAAATATGTTTTTACAGTTGACGTAGATGCCATATTCTTGTTGGCTTTCTCCTTAGAGGATCTTCCCATAGTTTTC